GTTCACAACCACTCCTTCCCTCCATCTACTTGGCGTATACTCGTTTTTCCACACCCAATTGTATAGCAGTACCATCAGCTGGATCATCCCCTTCCCCCCAAACTTCATGAACTCGTTGACTATCCCATCCGCTCCTGCTGCTTTGTGGCACTTCAGCTTGTTCACACACGCCTCAACCTCGTCGTGGGGGGGGCACAAAAAAAAAACTTTCGACACTGAAAAAAAAAACAATCTCAAGAGTTAACACTCACAAATCGTATTCTTCCTGGTTGTTATCTTCTGTTGCCGAGAAATAGCTCTTGTATATTCTCATACTGCCGCCCGAACACCTGCTCTTGCCTACCCTTGAGCACGAAACACACAAATCTGCGCTATGCGGCTGGTGCGTGCTGAATTGCTTCCTCCCCATCCGTCACCATGTCCGCTCCGGCCTCCGATACGTAATACTGGAGTTCCGTGAGCAATTCCAACACCGAGAATATCAGCGAAAATATCCCAACCGACACGCCATCCTCCCAAGTCTCCGAAGACAGGGAAAGGGCCAAAAACAGCGAGTCAACCACCAACGTCTCCCCCACCGCCCGCAGCATAATCCGCGATCTACGCGTGGCCTCGTCGGAATCAGGGAGGTGGTGTCCATGAGGACACCAAAACAGAAGGCGGCCAATCCAACTGTAGGGATGGTGATGAACGATTCTATCAATCAACCAAAGACCAGACCCAGCTTGCTCCAATCTGTCCACCGGCGTGTAACCAGCCATCCCCCAAAACATCATCAACGAACTCGACTTCGCGCGCGATCCTACCACAGCCCACATTAAACCATCCAAGACTGGCCATCGCAGAGCAAACTTTGAGACTCCGAACCTATGCCCACCGCTCTCGTTATTCCCCCTCTCCCAACGACTGAAGTGAGTTTCCAGGGGCAATTCATGACAGCAGTTCAAGCATTTCAACGCCATCTTAAAACGCTCGCCTCTTGATTCATCAGTGCCACCACACAGAGCAAACGGAACCCACAACACCACAAGCAACAACGTGACCAGGAGCACAAGCACCCGCTCAACATCTGCTAGCCCGAAGACAACACAGCACAACCACCAAAGCCACCCGCCATCCTCGAAAGTCTCAATCAACAGCAACACATCTGTGAAATCGTCGATTATCGGAATAAGGGAATGCCAGAGAGCGACCAAGAAGTCCACCACAGACACCGCACACGGCTTCACTCGTCCAGCACCTGTAACACAGAGTATTCAACGTCAGATATCTCCACGTACATGAATTTCGTTTCGACATTTGCAGACATGGTTCAACAGGCACGCCTCGAAGACTATGGCCATGAGTCCTCACCTCTGACTCTCTCCTGCCAACGCGTGAGAGCTGGTCCGCTCACCGTTCCTCTCGGAGCATCTAATTCATCACACAGCACGAAGCAGTCGGGGGTACCCAGAGGACGGTTAGATTCGTCACGCCCGATTCTAAAGTAACGTACTGAAACGAAAATATTGCAGCCCCGAAACACTCACCGATGAGCTGCTCGTTTTTGGACAGATCGAGGTGCTTGAGAACCCGGAGTTCACCGAGCTCCTTCGGGATTGGGCCTGTGTGTAACATGAACCGGCACGCATTGTTGTGGTGGACGGGTGTTCTTGAGGCCAGCGAGATAGAAAAACACGGACTCGCGAAAACAACAAACTTCTATGTGTCTGGTCGTTTGCCAAGACACGAATTGCGACAAATCTATCTCGGCACAAACCGGCTAGCGCTAAGTTCAACATGCACCCATTCACTTAGCGCAATCCGCTTTCCTAGCTCCTCCGGTATAGTTCCTGTGCAAATGACGAACAACCGCCTGTCATCTGAATTTATCGGGGGAAAAAACAACTACTAGGCTTCTGGAACAACACCTACTCACCCACTTCTAACCCCAATATTTTTTTATGTTTCCCGCTAACCGTATTTTTTATTCTGCTTGCAGGCTCCATCCCCCCGGAGCTAGGAAACCCCGCAGCACTGAAGGAGCTCGATCTTGGGGAAAACAAGCTCAGCGGTGAGTCACTGGATAGAAGTTTTGCCGTCCCAATGACATAATAGGAATGAGTCCTGTTCTATCCTACTAGCCGGGCATTTTCTTATTCCCCGCTAAGCCTGTATTTGCTTTTCAGCTTCGCAGGCTCCATTCCGCCGGAGCTGGGAAATCTCACAGAGTTGGCGATGCTGTGGCCCAGCAGCAACCAGCTCGCAGGTGATATATACAACATGTGGCGGTCGTTCTACTTTTTCTCAAATTGATCCCATGCATGATCCCCGCCAACCCCGGCGGGGTTCATCCATGCGAAGAAGTTTTTGCACAAATTACCTGTTAGCTTGTTGATGGGGAGCCACAGGCCCTTAAGCTGTCTGAGTTCTCCCAGCTCCCGCGGGATGGGGCCTGCAAGCAGGGAAGAAATACGAAATCAGCGGGGAACTTGAAAATATTCCACGCTCTCTAGAACGTCTACCTGCACCCACGCCTACGCCGGACCCAGTGTCTAGAAGCTGCGTCACACAGTTTTCTCATCTCATTGTTATTCCGTGCTGCCCCTTTACGCAGGGCCCATACCCAGGGATCTCGGAGCCCTGAGCAAATTTCAAACGTTTTAGCTCTGACACATCCAGCTTACCGGTGAGGAATGTCTTCATTTTCTAGACTTTGTAGGAACGTGCTTCGACGCCAACGCGTGAATGAGTAGGTGGTCTAGAAGGTCGGGAGAAAGTCGGGCGGACTATATTTTCGATTCCCGGCTGAATTTGTATTTTCTCGAACCGCTTGCAACTGAGAAACCTCGGAGAGCTCCAGTCGCTGGCGCTCTACAGCAACTAGCTCACGGGTGAATTTCTTTGTATTTTGGAGGTCGTGTCGATTTATTCTCAAACTGTTTCCATGGTATGAAACAGCTGTTTTTTTTTACCTACGCGACTCGGCGGGTCTCATGCATGTTTCTACAGAAAACGAACAAAACATCGCTGTCAATCTCCTGTACTCACCTTCCAACCGGTTGGTGCCGAGGTTGAGGTACGTCAAGGCGCTTAGACGTCCTAGCTCGTTGGGGATGTTCCCTGTAGATATGCAAGTCAAGAAAGGTGTTGTGGGATTTCTGCAGAACAAACCATGGGTTGTTTCTAGAATATGCGATGACCTAGTCACCGACGCATCGGCAGCAATTATTTTTACCATTGCATGTAGAGAGGTAAAATCTTTTAACTATGGACTCACCTATGAGCTGGTTGTTCCAAAAGTGTAGAACCGTAAGTGCTGCGAGGTTTCCCAGCTCCGGCGGGATGCGGCCTGCAAGCGGACGAGCAAATGCAATTTCAGAGAGGAATCGCCGGCACATTTTGTCCCGGCTTCTAGAAGACACCTACTCACCCACGTTCTGGAAGACGGGATCAATGTTCTTGTTTCCCGCCTCGAAACATCATTTTTAGCTCCCAATATGTGATCGACTCTAATCTAGTGACTCACCACTGAGCTGGTTTCCCCAAAGGTAAAGCTGCTCCAGTTCTGCGAGGTTTCCCAGCTGCGGGGGGATGGGGCCAGCACGTAGCATAACAATTGCGAAGCTAGCGGGGAAACCAAAAATACTCTCCGGCTTCCGTGGGTGAGTACGTGTTCTAGAAAGTCGGGGGATTTGACGTTGCTTCATCACGCTAGAGCATTTGTACTCTTGTCCTCCGGTTGCAGATCCCATTCCGCCGTAGCTTGGAAGGCTTGCCGCACTGCAGTACCTCAACCTCAAGAGGAACGAGCTAACCGGCTGGCAGTTCAGTTCAAATTTCAAAATGAAACCTGCCGATGCGTTGGAAGGACTCATCCTGTAATTCAACACGTCACTTGTATAAGTGACTCACCACTCAGCGTGTTCTCGTCAAGATGGAGGTACTGCAGTGCTGCAAGGTTCCCCAGCTGCGCTGGGATGCGGCCTGCGGTAGTGGAAGTGCAAATACCAAAAACGAAGTAGCGAGGAAAAAGTATAAAAATCGCTGGAATAGGCGAGTAGGTGCTCTAGAGGGTTTTGGAGAGAGACTCTTCTAGAAATCCAAAACAAAAGAGTTGTCCAAATCGAAAACTGCTCAATTCCAGAAATTTTAGTTTCTCCCCCGGTGAAATAATTCACTACACAACTGTCGCAACTCTTTCGCGTACATGGCTGCGAAAAGCGACAGCGGATGGATGTCAGCGAGGAAACCAACCACCAAGCCTACGGGGCCGGTGCGGAACGGATTCGTGGTCGTGACCGCTCCGGAATACGACAAAAGACGCTTCCCAGCCTTGCAAAACAAGCGATACCGAAGGACCGCGGCGTATGAGAAGCACTTGGAAGCCAGGAAAACCGATGTGGTGTACAGGTGGCGTGTGTTCAAGGAGCAGGCTAAAAGGCGGAGTATTCAGGTGTCGATTACTTTGACGAGTACAGCAGCATCGTGCGCACAGCTTGCCGTATGGCGGTTTCACGTACAAGGGGTACTCAGGCGTAGACCGCGTGCAGAACGCGGGGACGTACCAGAAAGACAACGTTGTGGCTTCCTGTAAAACTTGCAATTTTATGAAAGGATCACGCTCGGTAAAAAAATTCTTGGGAAAGGTCAAAGACATCGCAAGAGAGCAACAATCATTGTCCGTGGGGTAGGCCTTCGTGCCTTTGAGGCCATTCTTGGACAGTGACAGCTTCACCACGCGGCCCTGGCCGTTGGCCTTGACCCCATACCAATCCGAGAGTGCGGCGCCTGAGCACCACTCGGTCTTGTTGCTCCAATTAGGCCCATCGGTCACGTTATAGAGATGTACCAATATTTCACGATCGGTTTGTGCCATTGTAGGGGGGCCTGTGGGGATGCAGAAGGACGTAAGTTTGCGGGACAATTGCAACAAATTGGTGTCGCTGTGGCCGGGTAAGGAGTGTGAGATTTCTGCCGAAAGTCTTACGTGGCTGAGGGGTGATTCCGACCTTATCGTACAATACGATGATCGTAGCAAAGAACCAAGCTTACATGTTGCCGTGAAAAAACCATCTGCGGCGTGGTCACCTACCTCTCCAAAAGGGGGCGTCTAGATCACGGTGTGTCATTACACACGCTCACAAAATAAAACGGATCGGACAAACACGCCGGCTTGCCAGGTAACCCTTACCCTAAGCGCTAATTTCCACCAGGTTGCCGCGTGTGTGTCACCTCGCACACTGCTAATATCTAGACATGTCTTCGAACGCGCACCCGGGTCAGCTACGAAAAAGACGCACCTCCGAATTCTTGAAGAGTTGTACGCGAGGCAAAGCTAGACTGTGATCCTTCTCTTTCAGCGCCTCGCTCGTTGCGTATCTCCCCTCTACGCGGTGGTTGCGCCTATGCGCCCTCGCTACTCCATACTCTAGGCACCGACCTTCACCAGGGTTGCCGCGTGCGTGTCGGCTCGTACATTGCTTATCTCTGCGCGCGTCGGCGAAAAATCACCCGCGTCAGAAAAGCTCCTACGGAAAAGACCCACCTTTGTAGTTTGAGGAAGCGCGGTTGTACACGGGGTAAAGCTAGATCCTATGATCCCTGTCCTTCTGCACCGCCTCTCTCGTTGTGTAGCTTCCCTCTGTGCCGTGGATGCGTCTGTGCGCCCTCGCTACTGCTGCGGTTGCCCCTATGTGTCGTGCACGAGGCAAAGAAAACGTACCACCCGGGCGACCATAAAAAAAAGCGTGACGAGTGCGTAGACACTCGGGGACACGGCCGCCAACTCGGCTAGACAAGAATCGAACAAGTTACCGGCAACTGGATTGCCACCACCACCACCACGAACAATAAAATGCGGGGTGCGTCATAGCTTGCTCACCTCCCTGCCCAAGTCGTCTCCCTGCCCTGCTGCACTGCTGTGCTTCCTACGCGAGGAGGCGAAAAAAATGAGACTCCGCAGACTGTATTCCAGAACGCACCAGAGACAGGATGTGTAATTCCTCCGCACATCCACGTAGTCAGCTCACCCAGGTTGCACTTGCTGCTCAGGATCGGTGGAGCATTCGCACGGATAGGACGGAGAAAAGGATTCTAGACATCTACGTCAATGTACTCTCGGAGATCGCGAGTATACACCCCTTCCCGTCGGAATGGTCGAGGTTGTTGTTGTTGTTGTTGTTGTTTCTCACATTAGCTCTATAGTCCACAAAAAATGGGGAGCCCGTGGTCTCAAAACCCGGCACATACGACGCCGCGAGAAAACAAAAAACAAAAATAGGATACAAACCACTCGGAAAAAGAAAACAAAATGATCGAAAGAAAGAAAAGAACAGGTATCGCACCTACTGTTCGAGAAAAGAGCCCTCGGA